ATGGTTGTATTTGATGAAGTTGATTTTATCAAGAAGACGAAAAAATTTGTTCATTTTATCGCATGGCATTCAGTTCCATACTGTTTTGACTGCTCGCATTCCACTTGTATTTTATCGACGGTTGATAAATGTTCTTGGAATCGCCAACGTAGTCAGAGCGAGTACTAGCCGTTGAATAAACCGTCCGAGTGGTCGAATTCCCAATGGCGTCTGAGCTCGATCGTTTTCGGTCACGAGCGTATCGTCCATTGCAATTGAACAATAAGAAAACGTATGGATTAGCTGCCGAGTTTGCTGCCGCTAGCCCGCCAATGATTCCATACACTAGATCTGATATGATACAATGATCTCCATAGGACATGATCATCTCGGCAATGAAGTATGGAATACCACACACGAGAAACACTACGACGATCACAAATGTCATCTTCAATGTTTTGATCTTCGCCTTTGGTAAAGAACTAGAGTTTGTGCTTTGGAGATGTATCTTGCCAGGTTTTATTGAATGTCGTTTCGAGACCTGGCACTCTTTTGCTTTTCGTGCAATCTTTAAGAAAATACTTGTATAACAGAATATGAGGAGACATATTGGGATGAGAAACACGATGACGGCAGCATATGTTAAGAACGCCTTCCTGTGGGACCTCGGTAGATCTCTGAATATATTCTCACACTTTGTGACACCATCGACGACGTTTGTTCGGAACACGTACAACATCGGTAGGGATCCAAATGCGGCTACTGCCCAACCAGCGCCAGCCATCTTCCATACCTGTAATGATAAAATACATTAATTATACACAACATAGATGTGACAACAATAACATAGTAACATTGCATTCAATATGTGACATTCATTTAACGATCGTTATTAAATGTATAGAGGAGGAACAAATATAAAAACAGGAATAAATCTAGTGCATGGGAAACATTCAACTATGACCCTTTGAAAGGTCAGGTGTTTCGGAAGGGTGTCCGTCGTGTTAATCGAGGTCAAATTCTAGTAATGTCACATCTGAAAACGCTTGATCTTCACAACGTTTACTACACCATCAGTACTCATACTCTTTGTGTCAAACTGTCAAATACAGATAGGAGTGTCTTGTTGTCAATAAAAATGATAATTGTTTTGTTACACACCATAATATAGGAAACACACGGAGGATGATATTGTAAGCATTATCACTTTCGTTTTGGTTCGGCATTAATTTTGCTAAATTTATTTGAAGAATTACTCAATCGACTATAGGTCTTTCAATGTTGACTGACTGTACTACATCAAGCTGACGATATACCCTTAATGCACAATTGACATATTTTTGGATACAAATATTTTTCTTCTTCTCCCAAATGTAAGATATTGAACATTACAACATTTGCCGCGTCATGTTCAGTTTAAGATCCGGACGCATACAGACAACAGGAGTTATTGACCCTTTGCTATCAAACACTACTGAACATGATCCGTTTATTTGCAATGCTTTCCTAAATTGGATTTTATATATCGTAAATGAAAATGACCGTTGACGAAACCTGTTCTAAATATCAGGATTTTCAAGCTGGACGCGTCCTGTTCAACAATCGACTAAATACACTTCAGTAGGAGTTATCTTAAGGTCGTCACTATAAACTTATTTCAGACTTCCTCACTGGATCGTTAGAGATTTGCATATACTGCATACCGGTTAATTTTTGAAGCAGGTTTATTTTGCGATTTCCACGGAAAGGGTCAACCATAAATTCAACAACTCAGAGAATGTTGATCCCTGCCTTATTTTGCGAACTTAAACAAAACACAATAATAAAAATGTAATATGCAATGTAAAACGTACATCATACAGTTCAAATGGCTGACAAATATCGTCATTAAATTATAAGGTTACAGCAACTTATTCACATTGTAATTACGGTTTATAAGAACAACGTTGCTACGGAAACATGAAGATGTTTCTTATTTCAGATATACTACTACTCATTTAAAGGTATTAACAAATACTGTAGGATAACTACAGAAATAAAAGTACAATAAAAAGATTCATTACGTTAAAAAATCAAACAGTGTCTTCTTTCCGTGGATTCTACCATGTGCGAATACACACTTCCTAGCGGAAAAAAATATGCATGAATTCAAAGCTGCATACAGTATCATATAGGTTTTTGCAAGTTTAAAAGATAGCTATTAAAACGCTCATGTTCTACAAAATTAAAATCCAAAAATACCGTAAAAATAAAATCATTTGTGCTACAGTATATAATTATCTCTATATTTGCGTTTTTTACTCTAATTTCTTCATCTTTGTTAACGGATGGCGTTATACACATATTTTTTAAAAAAAATGCATGATTTTACATGCAATTAACCCAGTTGAATAACGATTCGACCTGATCGTCACAATTGAGATTTTGAGTAAAACAAATCCAGGTACTAATTACACAGCACTCTCGATGTCTTTTTAAACATAACACGTAAAGATAACATAATTTAAATGAGATTTGTATATGAAAAAAAAATTGAATCAATTATCACTAGACTGAATATCAGAAGATGTCAATTAGTATTTTCTTCTAAGAAGTTATTTGATTTATTTACATGTACTTACAAATCATCTAAGTTTGCTAAAGAAAGCTACCACTGTGCACTGCGTAACACATCATTACTTCTGTTTTACAATTTATGATTAAAAAAGTCATATTGTTAAAACAAAATGAAACGAACATCATCCAATGACGAAATACATCTCCTGAATGGAAACTAAACAAAAATATTTTAATTGGGTTTTATTTAGCAAAAGAAGTTAAATAAATACAAAGCGTATGACATGAATTGTCATTCTGAAAGTATTTTGTTGCAACGGTCTGTGAATATTATGTAATTCTGTCACATATAGGTGGAGCTGAAGCTTTCCAAATTCGTGCTCAAAAAAAAACCCGACAGACACGCAAAACCTATTAGGATAGATACGCATTATAACTCTATTCGTCAATTGATAATAACACAACTCCAGTGCGATGTTGCATGCAAGAAAACATTATATCAAGTATGTTCGGACGGATTTTCACATAAATGCATCTAGATGAAATATAATGTATATCACTTACTATGTCTTAACTTAAACATTTACTTATAAATAGTCTAAATAAAAAGTGCAAGAGAAATCGCGTGTCAATAAATAAGGAAATATTGCTGAGCTTTCAGGATGCCTACGTACACTCGTTCCATACCATTCTATCAGAGTGTCGGCAGACCAGACTGCTTTTAACGATTATTTTTCGGTAACTTTTGTCTTGTATTCGGTTTAAGGACTTTTCATGATATGCCGTCAAAAATAAATATGGCACCAAACGTTTGTAACGTTATTACAATGCCTTGAGACATAATAACCCCGAGTTCTATAAATGGTGAGTAAACACTCTCCTTATATTCACATTCATAACACCCTATTGTATAGTTAAGGTATTATCCTTTTACTTGATGGTTCATAGTTATAGGACATTTACGGTACAACCAAGAAACTGTAAACGTATCAAATTATTCTACCGTAACAAATATGAAAAAGGATATCATTCCTCGTTTTGGCCTCGACATTTACTGTGATGTTAAACAGACAATCACCATGTCGATAGATACTCTGATTTATTTAAATCCCGTAACTAGCGGCAGATTGATTTTGAGCAATATTTAGAAATCATCGTGGCGTTCTATTACCTCGATGCATATCGCTTAAATTCTGCTTCGTTAAACTCGATCGAAGTCAATTGCAAGATGCCAACATCGCGTGATTGGCAGATGATCATGTTATATTTCAGGTGTAACAGTTCTTAATTCAAGGTCACTGGAAACGATCCCTAGGTCTCTCTTTTGTTGGTAAAACAGACATGAATTTACTTAGACAAGGTTTTATGCCTGGTATTTTAACAACTTTATCGCGCCCTTCTCCAATCTGTTTAAGTCATGTTTGTGTAATGTTTTCCTCGTTTTATATTTTGTCCAGGTTTCTTTAGATTTAAAGTTTACACTTCGGTATTCTCTTTTTAACAAGAGGCCCAGAGGGCCTGTATCGCTCACCTGGATATCT